CTGGTGACTCATAGATTCCCTACCCAGTTGATTCAATTTCATTCAAACACGGCAGTTGTTAAGTGAATGCTACCATCATTAAGCAAACCTATTGTTCACTCGGGATATAAGCATGGGTTTCTGGCAAAAATGTAAATCATGGTCATGTGACTGCAGGATGCTATGAAAGGCCACAACTGCAGGCTGGTTGCCAAGCACCCAAAATGTCATGTGACCCTGGGTGGAGCCCCCCAACCCCCAGTCCTCAGAAGTTCAAATCTGGGTCATAAGTTGTTTTTTGAATGGTTGCTAAATGGCTGGTCGTAAGACGAGGACTATCTGTAAGTCACAGGCTTGGTGTTGTCGTAGTTCTGTGTCTACCATCTGCACAGCTATAGAAGAGCAATATTCTCAATAGCAGTAATTGCAAGAGGGATCTTGGAATCCGAGTGGACAATCACTTCAATGTGAGCCAGCAGTTGTGTGGCAGCTGTTAATAGAGCCAAGGCAGTGGTGGGCTGCAGTAACAGAGGGATAGAATCAAGATCACGTGAAGCATTAGTATCACTTTATAAAACCTTAGTAAGGCCACATTTGCAATATTGCATCCAGTTTTAGTCACCGTGATATAAAAAAGATTTTGAGACACAGGAAAAAGTGCGCAGAAAAGAGCAACAAAGGTAGAGGTGAGCGGAGGCTAAAATATCCGATGAGCGGGTGCAGGAACTCGGTATGTGTAATTTAATGCAGAGAACGGCTAAGGGTGACATGATAGCAGTCTTTCAATAGTTGAGGGGCTGACGCAGAAAAGGGGGTCGACCTATTCCCCAAAGTGCCTGAAAGTTGGACAAAAAGTAACAGAGGGAGAATTAGATAGATAGATAGATAGATAGATAGATAGATAGATAGATAGATAGATAGATAGATAGATAGATATAGATATAGATATAGATATAGATATAGATATAGATATAGATATATCCAAGTATTAGGAAGAAATTGTCAGTGACAACAATTAATCAGTGGAACAAATTGCCTCCATAACTTGTGGTTGTTCCATCAGTGGAGGCTTTTAAGAGGAGACTGGAGAGCCATTTGACTGGGATGATATAGGTTCTCCTGCTTGGAGAGTTGGTCCCTTCCGAACTTTATGAACATTTAGTGCTCAGCATGTAGCTCATCTTCAGAAGCTTAAGTAGCTTCACATTTCACTATTTTACTTGGCTCTGTTGCAAAGATAGGTTGCTGGGAGTCTAAAACAACTTGATAGCATATAATCAGTGACAACATCTTGCAGACGCCTTAGGCAGAGACGGGACAAGCGTGTTTTTTCGCCTCCTGTCGGGAGATGGCGGTCACTTCTGCGCCTACAAAGCCGTCAATACAGTAGCTGCATCTGTGGTTGATCCTTAAAGGAGTTAAAACCATCAAGTACTGTATTGCTAGAAAGGATTGAGGAAGAAGAGAAGCCCAGAGGAACTTCCTGTACCGGATCCCTCATGGGTGGAAGGTGGCTTGCAGAGCGGCTTTTGTGCTCTTCCAGAAGTTGAAGCATCAGCTGGAAGGTGAGTTGAGGGCAAGTTGGAGGAGAGGCCAGAAGCAAGTTGGGCTATTTGGTTTGGATGCTGCCAACCGATGCACATTTATGATGGTCACAACATCCCACCATCATGATCCCCATTTTTGACCTTCCCAGCTTGTTTCTCATAGGCAAAGTTAGTGAGGATGGCAAGAAATTGCAAGTGACAGTCATGTGAAACTGCCTTTAACAACCCACAGTGGTTTGCTTAACAACTCCTGAGGAACAGATGTAAGTTGGCAGTTATGTGACATCATGCTTCATGATCGGGCTGCTTAGTGACACAGATCCCAGTCCCAAATGTGAGGACTCCTGGAAAGGGGATGTCACCAGAGGAATTGTGGACAGGAGGACAGTATTTTCTTATCTGGAGCTGAGGACTTCCATCGGTATAACTGGTGTTTCAAATTTTGCAGAGGCTTTAGGCATCATTTCATCAGTTAAAGCCCCCACATCTCTAAATTTAGCTCAGAAGGTTTAATTGTAACCATTTTGGGACATTTTTCAGGCTGAAAACATGGATTTTTCACATATATACATTTGTAGGTGTAAATGTAATTCTCTCTGCAGTTGGATAATCTATCCCCAGTGCTTCTAGATATTCAGTCATGTGAAAAACAAAGTACACCCTCTTTGAGTTGTATGATTTTATATATCAGGACATACTAAAAATCATCTGGTCTGTACACTCTTAAAAATAGGTGAATACAACTTCAGATAAACAACAACACATGACATATTACATCATGTAACCATCAGTGGTGGGTTTCACTTACCTTTGCTACCGGTTCATGCACACGCACCACTTCTGCGCATGCACAGAGCATATTTGATGAGGTCCGGGTGGGTGGGTGAAGCCTCCTGCCACCGCTACTACTGGTTCAGCTGAACCGGTAGCAACCTGTCACGAGTGTTTCCAGGATTGCTGTGGCTATCTGCCTACTCACAAACAGTATGGTTTTAATCAAGCCATCTGCTGTTGCCAATTACCTGCAAGCCTTCCCCGCCCTAGTTAATTGCAGGTTGACTCCCTATATAAGCAAGGACCTTTTGCTTGCTACTCGGGCCTAGTTTTCTAGGCCTAAATGCACAGCTCCTGCAGGAAGCTTGGTGTAACGCCGCAGATGGGAGAAGAATGCAGATAAGGACTCCAGCCGTTACAGAGAGACTCCCACGGATGCTTGCCTTTTGCTGTTTTATAGCACGCAAGCTATCATCGGGACTGCTGTTGCTGGATCTTCTTCCTCCCACAAGCTTCAAGCAATGTTTGCTGTTTGAACTGTTTTTACTTCAGGTGACTTTCAGCTGTGAAGCTCGTGCTGCTCCCACCATGATGGCCTTGATGATGTATCGACGCCGAAGCTGCTTACCTTCATGCTAGCTTTATTCTTTTGTGAACTGTTTCGGTATTGTGGAGAGGGATCTAGGGAGATAGCCTTGCTTCACATACCCAGATAAGACTTTGTTTTTAATGTGTTTTCTTAAAGACATAGTGCTTTTTAAATGTTTTAAAGTAAATTATATTTTTACACAAGACGCCTCTGTCAGAATCATTTCAGTCTCAGTGTGTTTACTCATGAGCTGGTTCACGGTCCGGGGTACCCCTCAACCCCATTTCGTCACACAACCCACCACTGGTCACCATGTATTTTACCAAAGGAAAGCCAAAATGGAGGAGCCACGTGTGAAAACTAACACCTTATGATTCAATATCTCATAGAGCCACCTTTAGCAGCAATAACTTCAAGGAATTGTTTTCTGTATGACCAAAAACAGTCTCTTGCATTGTTGCAGAGGAATTTTGGCCCACTCTTCTTTACAACATTGTTTCAGTTCATTGAGGTTTGTGGGCATTTGTTTATGCCCACCTCTCGAGAGGTCCCACCACAGCATTTCAATTGGGGTGAGGTCTGGACTTGCTATTGCAAACCTTGAGATGGGATTTCTTCTTTGCTCTACCAGCGTAAGACTAGTGTAAAGCTAGCGCTAACAGAGCAAAGAAGACATCTGATCTCTTGTTTCAATGACAATCCTTTCCTCCCCAGCCAGTGTAAATGACGACAAAATCTTCTTAGATCTCTTCACCAGCATAAAACTATTGCCGGTGTAGCTAAGAAGAAATCGTAGTAGTTTATGCTAACTGGAAAGAAAAGGATTACAATGGAAGCAAAAAAGGCATGATTTCTTCTTAGCCCCGCTAGCACTAGCTTTACATTAGTCTTGTGCTGGTAGAGCAAAGAAGAAATCTCATCTCTTTTGCTTCCATGGCAATCGTTTCCTCCTCAGCCAGGGTAAATCACTGGTGCTGGCTGGAGTGAAAGGATTGCCATGGAAAGAAAAGAGTTTATATTTCTTCTTGATTATGCCACGTGGCCCAGCTGACTTCCTGAGCTCGTCAAAAATTTAGTAAGTGAATGGTGATGGGGGAGTGGGGTTGGGGAGGAATGCATAGTATATTGCAAAGCAGGCCAACATACTGTGCTCTGGGGGATTGTGAGGACTGACTGGGCAAGATGGAAGGGAAATAGATGGGTGGGTATGCTGCAGCATCTCTGCAGTGAAGGAGTCAAGGACTCCCGGGGTGGGAGGTGCTGCAATAATTCAACTTTGGAGCAGATTCGTATGTAGCATTTGGGGGAGTGTTGTAACTTCAGAAATTCGTTGAATGGCCTGTCGTACCTAAAGGATTACCTGTACTTCTTTTTCCACATCTTCTGCAACCCTTTCATAAACAATAAAACTTACACTTTCTTTTGAATCTTACAGACAAAGATGATGCCAACATAAGCACACTGGACAACTGAGAATAACAAGCAACATTGAAAAGCAAAGCAAATTGAAGCAGAAATAAAAATATGTTCTATTTCCTTCAGAAAGCTGCTACTTCAGCAGGTAAGAGACAGAAAAGAGAAAACCATGAAGAGATTTGCAGCTGGAAAAAGTAGATTATATAGAATTTAAGAATACTTTACTTGAAAAGGTCAAAGGAGATCATTTTTCCGTTCAGAAAAAGAGGGAAATATCTGGAAGCCAGTGGGGAAGAAAATGTCAATTGGATAGTCACATATGGCAGCCAGTAATGCAGGCACCAACAAAATAAGGAATCACACATTTTTTTGACCTCCTCAAGAATGTCAGTGATGGAAAAGCTCCATAGATGTGCCTATTGTGGGAAAAGTAAAGAGTTCAAATCACAAGAGGATCTACACTGAACAAAAGCCATATAAATACTCTGAATGTGGCAAAACTTTAGTCAGAATAGCTCCCTTGCAATTCACAGAAGGATCCTCATAGTAGAGATGCCCTACAACTGCTCCCAATGTGGTAAATGCTTTTGCAAGCATGGCAACTTTGTGGTACATCAGAGGACTCACACCAGGGAGAAACCATATGAGTGTCCAGATTGTGGGAAACGTTTCACAGCAAATTCCCACTTGATAAGACACCAGAGGACTCACACAGGGGAGAAGCCCTTTGAATGTCCTGAGTGTGGGAAAAGTTTCAATCATAAATCCAGCCTGGTGAACCACCAGAGGACTCACACAGGGGAGAAACCCTTTGAATGTCCTGATTGTGGGAAAGGTTTCAGTGACAATTCCAGCCTGGTGAAACACCAGAGGACTCACACAGGGGAGAAGCCCTTTGAATGTCCTGATTGCGGGAAAAGTTTCAGTGAGAATTCCAGCCTAGTGAAACACCAGAGGACTCACACAGGAGAGAAACCCTTTGAATGTTCTGATTGTGGGAAAAGTTTCAGTTGGAATTCCAGCCTGGTGAACCATCAGAGGACTCACACAGGGGAGAAACCCTTTGAATGTCCTGATTGTGGGAAAAACTTCAGTCTCAGTTCCTCTCTGGTGAAACACCAAAAGACTCACACAGGAGACAAACCACACAAGTGTGCAGATTGTGGGAAAGGTTTCAGTTACCGTTCTGACCTGGTGATCCACCAGAGGACTCACACAGGAGAGAAACCCTTTGAATGTCCAGATTGTGGGAAAAATTTCAGTCACAACTGCCATCTGGTGATCCACCAGAGGACTCACACAGGAGAGAAACCATATGAGTGTCCAGATTGTGGGAAAAGTTTTAGTTACAATTCCAGCCTGGTGAAACACCAGAGAATTCACACAGGAGTGAAACCCTTTGAATGTCCTGAGTGTGGGAAATGTTTCATTCAGAATGCCAGCCTGGTGATACACCAGAGGACTCACACAGGAGAGAAACCCTTTGAATGTCCTGAGTGTGGGAAAGGTTTCAGTCACAATTCCAGCCTGGTGATACACCAGAGGACTCACACAGGAGAGAAACCCTTCGAATGTCCTGATTGTGGGAAAGGTTTTAGTGTCAATTCCAGCCTGCTGATACACCAGAGAACTCACACAGGAGAAAAACCTTTTGAATGTCCTGAATGTGGGAAAAACTTCAGTCTCAATTCCAGTCTGGTGAAACATCAAAAGACACACACAGGAGAGAAACCACGCAAGTGTCCAGATTGTGGGAAATGTTTCAGTTACCGTTCTTCCTTGATGAACCACCAGAGGACTCAACACAGGAGAGAAACCATATGAGTGTCCAGACCAGCAGAGTCAAACAATTTGATTGAGGGCCACATCAGGATTGTGGTTGATCTTGTGGGTGAGCATGGTGGGGTGATGTCACATGGCCAGCTCGACATCTCTTGTGTCGTGGGGCGCCTGTGGTGGCCTAGGCAGGTCTGGGGGGATCCATTGTCTCCAGCAGAGGAAGGCGAGACAATGCTAAGCACCAAAAACCTTGTTCTCCTCATCCCTCTCAGGCCACGCAAAGGACCCCTGGCAGCAGTACAGGCTGCCCAGAGTCCTAAGAGCATAAGCGCCCAGTCTGGCCCTCAAGCTCCCGTTGCACAGCCCAGCCCTGCTTCCCCCAGTGGGTGCCCGGCTGTGCTTACCTCCTCCTCAAGGCTGCTGCTATGCTCGCTGTCCTTGGGCACGTTGCTCATGGTGTATGCAGGAGGGCAAAGTGTGTGTGTCAGAGGGAGGGCCACTCCTTCTCCATGCGAGGAGCCCCAACCAGGAGAGTCAGGAGGAGGGGACAAGGGGATAGCGAAAGGGCAGAAGGGCAGCTGGTGACCAAGTGCTAAGGTAGGACTTTCCTCAGAATCTGACTCCCTCTTATTATAATCCTTCCTTCCTTCCTTCCTCCCTCCCTCCCTCCCTCCCTCCCTCCCTCCCTCCCTCCCTCCCTCCCTTCCTTCCTTCCTTTTGTGGCCAAAGACTGGAAAACAAACCAGGCTCAGTTTATCCCGTGCTTGCATCTAGTGGGAGAGTCCACAGACAACAGCAAAACTTGTCACCGCATACAAAAACAAACTAAAAAGAAAATCTAGGGAAGATCTCATCAAACAGCTAGATGAAGCAGAAAGCAAACTCCAGAAAATGCCTGGAGATACTGTAGCAAAAGAAAATTGGATGGTGTGGAGACATAAATTAAATATTCTAGATCAAGAAGAGCTAGCCCAAAAAATAAAAAGAACAAAACAGCACTATTTTGAGAACGCAAATAAATCGGGCAGGTGGCTGGCCTATAAATTAAAAAAGGAAAATGAAAAAGGGACAATCCAGATATTAGAAGACGCTGAGGGAAATCTCTTAAATAAAGAAGAAGATAAACTAGAAAGAGCGAGAGAGTACTATGAATCCCTATACAAAGAAGAGGAGACCTCGGAGGAAAAAATAGATCAATACTTGGCAAAGGCGGAGCTCCCGCAAATAACGGAGGAAGAGAAGGAGATGCTAAACGCTAAGATAACAACTGAAGAGTTTAAAAAAGCCCTTTCCAAACTCAAAAACAACAAATCACCTGGCCCAGACGGATTCCCAGGAGAAATATACAAAAAATTGGAAGAAATTCTACAACCCAAATTAATGGAAATTTTCAATGAGGTTTTGATGGGCTCAAAAATTCCTGACTTGTGGAGGGAAGCTCATGTTACACTGCTGCCGAAAGAAGGTGCCGACCCAAAAAAAATTCAAAATTATAGACCGATCTCACTTCTAAACACTGACTACAAACTATTTATGTGTATAATGGCAGAAAGAACCAAAAAAATATTAAATAATTGGATTCATAAAGACCAAAATGGATTTCTCCCAGGACGACAAATTAGGGACAATTTGAGAATTGTACTAGATACTCTAGAATACTACGAAGAACACCCAGAAAAGCAGTTGGCCTTAGTTTTTTTGGATGCCCAAAAGGCATTCGACAATCTAAACTGGAATTTTATGACCAAGCAAATTAAAGTAATGGGATTCGGGCAAAACTTCGAAAAAATGATAAAAACTATCTATGATAATCAGAGGGCGAGCATTCTAGTAAATGGAGACAGGACAAGAATTTTTCAAATTAAGAAAGGTGTAAGGCAAGGCTGCCCTCTGTCACCGCTATTATTCATTTTGGCCCTGGAAGTTTTGCTACGAAACATTAGAAACAACGAGGAAATCAAAGACCTAAGAATTAGAAAAGAGACCTATAAAACGCAAGCCTTTGCGGATGACGTGGCGCTAATATTAGAGGATCCATTAATATCTGGACAAAAAGTATTAGAGGAATTGGGTAAATATGGTGAGGTGGCAGGCTTTAAATTGAACAAATCTAAAACCAAAATACTTACTAAGAATGTAACTGAGATGGAGAAGAAAGAGATAGAAGAAACTTTGGGCCTACAAGTTGTCCCAAAAATAAAATATTTAGGAATTTGGTTAACTAAAAGGTGCTCATCTCTAAAAGAAGATAATTATACTCCATTAATTAATAAATTAAAACAAGATCTGGATAGATGGAAAAAGATCAAATTATCACTTATAGGCAAAATTGCGGCAATTAAGATGAACATCCTCCCCAAGATCTTATTTTTATATCAAAATTTACCAGTAATTTTAAAGAATTTTTTTTTTTCAGAATTAAACAAGACCGTTAGGGAATTTGTTTGGGAGGGGAAAAAAATCAAGGATCTCACTTAAAATTCTACAGGAAAAAAGGAATGTGGGAGGATTTGGACTCCCAAATTGGGAAATGTATTACAGAGCAGCAAAGTTGATATGGATAAAGGATTGGATCACCTTGGAGAATAAGAGGATCTTAGTGTTAGAAGGACATGACCTACAGAAAGGGTGGCATGCATATCTATGGGACAAAGACAATAAAAAGAAAACCTATTTCCACAGGCATAAAATCAGAGACTCCCTAATACAAACGTGGGTGGGAATTAGGCAGAGATACTATTCAAAAGTCCCAAACTGGCTTTCCACGGTAGAGGCAATGATTTACCCCAACAGGTGGGGAATGGAGAAATTGTGTAGATACAAAGACATTGTCGATGGAGGGGGAAATATTAAATCAAATGAAGCCCTGAGAGACCAAGGTATAACCTTAGATTGGTGGACTTATCTGCAAATAAAATCAAGATACCAGAAAGATAAAGATGAGTATGGCCTAGAATTAGGATATAATGGATTAGACAAAATTTTGATGGGACCAGGGAAAAAAACGTTGGCCAAGCTGTATAATTATATATTAGATGAAGACAGAGATGAGGATATAATTAGAAACCAATTGAGAGCATGGGAGAGAAATATTGGACACAGTGTGAATTTTAATGAATGGGAAGAAGCCTGGAATAAAAATTACAAATTAACTAAAGCAGCCACATATAAGGAAAATCACTACAAAATGCTTCATAGGTGGCATTTAGCACCTGCAAGACTAGCAAAGATGTTCCCCAATGCGCAGCCAAATTGTTGGAAATGTGGCCATGGTCATGGCACCTTCTTTCATACGTGGTGGACATGCCCCGAAGCAAAAAGGTACTGGAGCAAAATTCGGAGATGGTTGAAAGACATACTTAAAGAAGAAATTGATTTGAATCCAGAAATATTTCTCCTGGGAATGGTAAAGAAAGGGTATGGAAAGGAAAAGGTCCACCTCCTAATACACATAACTACAGCTGCCAGACTAGCATACGCTCAATACTGGAAAAAGAAAGACCTACCACCAGATGACCTTATAATTAACAAAATATTAGAGTGTGCAGAGATAAGTAAATTAACTCACGAGATAAATGACGATGAAAATTCCGATTATGATACTGTGTGGGGAAGATGGTACGAATGGATAAATGATAGAATTAAGGAAGGAACAAAAGGTGCAGAAATTAATTAGAAATGTATAGTACAAAGGATACCAGACACTTATTCATGTATATATGTATACACACTGCGAATCCGATGTTAAACAGAATTGTTACTATATTTTATTTGTGTAAAAAAAAAACCAATAAAATTGTATTTAAAAAAAAAAAAAAAAGAAACCATATGAGTGTCTAGACCAGCAGAGTCAAACAATTTGATTGAGGGCCACATCAGGATTGTGGTTGATCTTGTGGGTGAGCATGGTGGGGTGATGTCACATGGCCAGCTCGACATCTCTTGTGTCGTGGGGCGCCTGTGGTGGCCTAGGCAGGTCTGGGGGGATCCATTGTCTCCAGCAGAAGAAGGCGAGACAATGCTAAGCACCAAAAACCTTGTTCTCCTCATCCCTCTCAGGCCACGCAAAGGACCCCTGGCAGCAGTACAGGCTGCCCAGAGTCCTAAGAGCATAAGCGCCCAGTCTGGCCCTCAAGCTCCCGTTGCACAGCCCAGCCCTGCTTCCCCCAGTGGGTGCCCGGCTGTGCTTACCTCCTCCTCAAGGCTGCTGCTATGCTCGCTGTCCTTGGGCACGTTGCTCATGGTGTATGCAGGAGGGCAAAGTGTGTGTGTCAGAGGGAGGGCCACTCCTTCTCCATGCGAGGAGCCCCAACCAGGAGAGTCAGGAGGAGGGGACAAGGGGATAGCGAAAGGGCAGAAGGGCAGCTGGTGACCAAGTGCTAAGGTAGGACTTTCCTCAGAATCTGACTCCCTCTTATTATAATCCTTCCTTCCTTCCTTCCTTCCTTCCTTCCTTCCTTCCTTCCTTCCTTCCTTCCTTCCTTCCTTTTGTGGCCAAAAACTGAAAATAAACCAGGCTCAGTTTATCCTGTGCTTGCATCTAGTGGGAGAGTCCACAGACAACAGCAAAACTTGTCAAAATGTTGGTTGTGATAGTTGATCAGAACTCCTCTGTTTTTTATGTACTGTAAGGTCCCAAAATGTACTTGAGTCACCAGAATGCCAAAAAGAGAGACTCAAGACGAGGCTTGCAAAAAGAGGCAGATTTTATTTATGGCCAAAAACGAAATACTGGGTGGGACTATATCCAGAACATACAGATACAATGCATGTGAGGAGATAGCCACACCTTGGGGAAGGTAAGGCGTCCTTTTTATACCCTCAGAGACATCAGCTTAGTACCCAATTCTGGCCTCCTAGTTCAGGTTTGTGTATTCCTTGTTGCCCTGCAAAGGAATAGAAGTTTCCCAATTAGCGTTATCTCTTCCTTGAGCATTCCTTTGTTCTCTCAATTGGCCATTTGGCTCCTGGTTCTGCATCATCCAAGGAATAAATTGATCTGTATAATCAAAGGTGTAAGTTAGGGCTGAAGTGTAAAATTATCCCTCGGATGATGTCTGCAGTTCCAACTGAGATAAGTACCATGCTCTTAGATGGCATAAGAAAAACAGGAAGAAGATTGATATGGGTTCAGATCAAATGGCAGGAACATATGTTTGACAAATACCAGATACCTTACAGAGGCCTAATAACAGCATATGTTTGTTACAGGAGATACAAATATAAAGGCATATAATATATGTGATACAAATACAAAGGCATATTTGTGTTACAGATATAAAGGTACAATATATGTGTGTTGTACAAATACAAAAGGCCATATGTGTATTACAGGAACCTAATGGTTACAGAACAACAAGTTTCTACTAATTCTAGTATACCAGTATATCCAGTGGTGGGATTCAAGTAATTTAACAACTGGTTCTCTGCCCTAATGATTTCTGAAGCAGTGATGGGGGAGGGGTCAGTATGGGAAGCCTTTGTTGGGAGCCTCTTGGCAGCTTAAAAAAAGAAAGGAAAGGAAAGCGGGAAGGGAGGGAGGGAGGAGTGAGTGGCAACTTTATTAGTAATCCAAGTTAACATTGGTATTCTTGAATTGTGAGCTCGCAGGAAAGTATCCCCTCCTTGTGTGTTGCAAACAGCCATTTCCAGTGGG